CACAGCCACAAGCCCGGTCACAAGAGCCACCGCACCCACCTATCCAACATATCCCCGGCACAAACGATATACATCATGCCCACCGGGCCGGTGAATCACCTGTCATTGATCACCATCGCAGACAAACATCTATTCACGATCGAGAGCACAGCCTGTCGGTGAGCCCCAAAACACGAGTGCCGTCCTTACATAGCAACTCAGAGCGCAACTCTGTTTCCCTTCCAGTGAAGATGATGATCGACACCGAGCCCACAACGACACCGGCGAAGCGGAAGCTTGACGACAGAGATCTGAGCCCCCGGGAGCTTGAGCATAAAGACACCAGGCCACCTCCAGGCGAAATCAACGGAAAACATGTTCCCGGAAAATCTCTTGCATTGCCAGCCGCACCCAAGACGCAATCTCCTGCCGAACGACGGAAAAAAAGAGTTAATTGGACCGAGAAACCCATTTGGGCTCAGAGCATCCGTAGCTTAGGCAAAAACCTGCCACAAAACGCTAATTTTGTGCTTCATGAAAAAGCTCACAACCATGTGAATGGAGCATCAAAAGACGGAGCTCCCAAGACTCCCGAAGTCGTGAAGTCTCAGCCTCCTCGTCATTCCCAGACAACTACTGCCCCCCCTTCTCCTGGCGCCCAAGATATACTCGGACCTTGGGAGCATTCTATCACAGGAGTGGAACCAATAGAAGAAATACCACGCGTAATCGCAGATTTCCTTTTTGTCAACATTGTTGGAGCTTCCGATATTCAAGAGATAACGAACCGCGGCATAAAGTTTGAGATTGAGGCCAAGTTGGGCACTCTGATTGACAAAGACACAAATCACCGGGTCGACCGTTTTCTTGCATCAGAGGCCATCTTGGAAAGCAATAATCGAACAGCATTCAGGAGTAGCATGACCGAAGTTCGTACATTTCTGCTTTGGTCTAGAATTCGAAACTGCGGGTTTGCTAACTGCACATAGGCACAACACAAGGCTTTCAACGAGTTTCTCAACCAGACCGTCATCGAAACCGACCCTCGCAACCCCAACACTGGCAAGCAGCGAGTTCAAGTTCACTATAAGCATCGTCGTGAAATCGATAGCTTCGTCGAACTTCCGCGTGAGCTTCAGGATGAGCTTCCTGGTTGTATGCTTTCTCGCCTTGGACGTAAAAACGTCCGGGCTCGGATCACTCATGACCAAAAGACTGGACAGGTTTTAAATACCATTGTGAAGGCACGTGTTGCCGACATCGACCTTCATATGCCGACATGTCCTATGGATTGCCGCATCAGTGTCAATCTTGAAATGGACTGGCGCGGCTCTACGAAAGAACTAGAGCAGCTTGCTGCAAGCCAAACAGGAAGGCAACCCAACAGAAACAAGGACCGACTAAGTTATACTCATGGCCACTACCAGGTCGATCTGACTCAGGTCACTCAGCAGGTTAATCTACCTGGAGTAGGTTTGACCTTTTCGAATCATGTTAACAAATAATGATACTAACTCTGGGCAGGGCGCAACTCGTTCCGAAAAGGAGCACGAGCTTGAGATCGAGATATCACCCGATGTTCTCGTTGAACAAGGTCAGAGAGCCATGAATAACTCGCCACATCGGTATGAGGAACTAGTCAAGGGTTTTTTGAACAACGTGAGAATCCTAGCGCGCAAGGCTCGCGATTTCCCATAAACTATCATCCTATCATACGAAGCAACCAAGGGTTACGGCCACCATGCCCATCTCTTTCATCAGAGCTTCCATTAACTGGTTTTGGGTTCCTTTCTTTCCTTTGTCTTTTTCTTCCTCTCATTGATGAATGGGCGACTGGAGAGGTGGCGTTAGTATTATTATTCTCCTAACTGTAATGAATGTTTCTTAGCTTTTGGTGGGACAAAGAACAAAAAGAGATTGGAGAGGAGCTGCTGGGTTATTGGATTTTATTTGGATTCTACCCTCGATCTTGAATCTCATTTCGATTGAGTGATGTTCAAGACTCTCGAGACGCCGACCGCGGACCACTCCTCAGCGTCATGTTAAATTTATCTTGGGTTTGAATTTGGAGAGGGCGACGGTGCTTTTTGGGACAAAAGGAGGACACAACACAGCTACCTAGTAGTACTTATGTTAATTTGTACATTGTGACGACATGAAATGCTAACTACTTGTTCTTTCGTCAATCATTGGACGCTGTCTGGGATGCATCAAATGGGTAAGCTGGACACTGAACAACAATCCGGGGACTCATGCTCTCAAATTGCATTATACAAACGTTGACATGAAATTATGCTCATTTCTACCAACTACTTCTCGGAGAAACAAGACATGGCCCAAGAATTTACAGAAAAGAGCATCTTGGGTACATGTAGTTTCGTGATAGCCTCAATTTGGCCTGGATAATGCTGCTCTAGGGTAGGCACGGATGAAGGGTTCTCTTGGGCCACTGGATATTGAGAATGAATCAGGGACATTGATTGGTTCATTTGTCTAGACTGAAATCTGAGCCTGCTTCTTCGACACGTATTCCTCCCAAACCTTGCCAATATCATTCTTGTAGATGAAGTCCTTATCCCCGAGGAGGAAATGGTCAATCTTTAGCTGGAGCTTCTCGTCTAATGTTGATACTTTCGCCTGTGCTTGTTGCAGATTCACCTTGACCTCGTCGAGATGGACGTACCTTGGTGATTATGTCAACCTCAGTGGCTAAAAGCGTAGTCTCGGAGTGTCGGTTTACTTACATCTTCTCGTAATATGGCGCTCTGATCTGCTCAAAGATCTCTAGAGCGTCGCGAATTTGATGAGGTGAGCCCTTGGTGTATTGGAGGGCCTGGGCAAGAATCCAGCCGTCCTCCATGGCGAAAGTCGCACCGGATCCAAATGCACCTGCGAAGAAATAATGTTAGAAAAATGAGATTCTAGGGCGAGGGAGAGGGCTCGTACCTGAGAGCGGGTGGCTGGCATCTCCTATCAACACTACCTTGTCCCATGCTGTCAACGTTTCCAGACGAGGGCCTGCGAACGAGGCGAACTCCCTCCATTGGCCCTCGGGAACAACGGCAACAGCATCTCTAATGCGTTGGTCGAATTTCTGCATGGGGGTCAATATCAACTCATTTCTGTACTAGCTGGCTCATTGCGTACCTCAACTCTTGATGCCACCTTCTCGTTGGTAGCAGGGACACCCCATACAACCGTCTCCCCAGGAACGTGAGGCTCATGATAGGACCGGACGGTGATTTCGAAGTAGGGATCGGAGGTCTCTGAGAGATCGTCCACGTCGGAGAAGTACACATGGCCCGTCTCTCCCCACCACCAGCCGGTTGCGTGCGTCACGTCCGGAAGATGGTCCAGCGACGATCTGGGGACGAGAGTACGCCACTGAGTGTCGCCGGTGAATTTGAGCGGGTGGTCAGGGAAAAGAGTCCGTCGTGTGATCTGCATAATGGAGTTTTAGTCAACACAGGGCAAGGTCGAGATGAGTTGGCCATTGGGTAAATACGGACAGATCGGATTCCATCGGCGCCTACTAACAGGTCGGCTTCTGTTTCTGTTCCATCTTTAAACTGCAGCCGTACTCTGCCATTATCCAGATTTTCCAGGGAGACCAACTTCTTGTTAAATTGGATGAGCCCTTTAGGCACTTGGGAGAGCAGCGCTGACTGGAGCCGGACCCGACGAGCTCTTACTGAGCCACGGTTGTCTGCATCCGAGTTCTCTGGAAACCTCGTGACATGCAAAATCTTGCCAGTGAAAGCATTTCTATTGAATTACTTAGTTTTCTTTTCCCATGTCGAGATAATATGAAACCTCAAGTGGAATTATTTTCAAACCTTTGGTGAGTGTTCTTCTTGGATCCGCCTTTGACCAACTGACCAGCTCCCAAGATATCGAGCACTTTCCAAGCATTGGTGCTCAGACTTAGCCCAGCCCCAGCCTCGCGAGGCTCTGAATTCTGCTCATAGAGCGTCACATTGACAAAGGGCAACTTTGACAGGGCGATCGCCGTGCCAAGTCCGCCAGGACCGCCGCCGACGATGGCAATCTCGATCGGTGCGGGCTCGACGTTGGACCCCATGGTGAAATTACTTGGCGAAATACTGGACCAGAAGCGAAAGGGTTGTCTCGGAGACAATGAATGAACGATAATTGGGAATAGTTTCATTTCATCTCATCTCTTATCTATTCACACGTGCCGCATCATGCAGGGCCATGTCTCCCACCCGGCCAGAGCTGCAACACGATAAGGCCACAATATTGGAGGCGCAATGCCGGAATCTGATGGCGAGCTCAGGGCCCGTGTTAGATGATTGGCTTGCCTCGGGGTTCTCTGGGGAAACACCGGGGCAGAGCCTCGCGCCATCGTGCGGCACAGGCCGAGTTATGCGGGCTCCGGTGTCGGGAGATTCGTTGAGACGAGTGGGATGAGAGGGATTGGAGACGATCAGATGAGTTGACAATTCATTCATGGCTTTACAGAAGCTCTCTTGACCTGTGCCGGCTGTAGGAGTTGTGATGGCGTGGGAAATGGGTGAGTGAGTCAACCATCAATATGGGATATCTCTCCACGGCATTCACACACCCCATGAATAGAACCTGTCTCTTCAAAAGATCATCTGAGCAATGTTTATTAATCCGTAACTCCGCCGTCTGCAAAACACAGGCCGTTGACCTGCATAAATGGCCCGTTTCGTCGGTAAGGCCCGGGTTTTAGTCCTTGCGATTGGATGACGCGATATATAGCACAAAGGCGTCATCCTCGTTCGCTCCCACAATCCGCCGGTAACCAATGAACTCGGCCCAACAGTCACTTCAATGGATACAAATCAGATCCCCTTTTCACAATGTGGTATCTTGACGTTGGGATCATGCAATTTGAGTGAATTATTGTGCTGCGCTTTTGTGTGACGGAGCTGGCTGGTATTTATAAGCGGGTGTACTCTGGGAATGGGACCATTTAGAAAGGGCGCGTGCTTGGATCAGAGAGATATTCCTACTCAATACAATCATAATTCAGAATGCCTTCCGCAGTAAATCGCCGTGTAGGTGTTATCGGAGCTGGCGTTTTCGGTGTGGTGACGGCCGCCCACCTGCTCGCCGAGGGGCTGGACGTGACCGTGTTTGAGCGAGCGCCGGTGGCAGGAGGCGTATGGGTTTGGGAATCCAGAGTACCGCATGAGCCTACCTATCCGTCAGCAAAGCCGTCCGTCGCGGAATCGACTTTCTTCAAGGCCGCAACAAACGGCGAGAAGAAGACGTGGCTCTCAGAACCAACGTGAGTCGTGGCCCATGGAGAGAACGGCAAGATTACAACTATTTAATTGCTATTTGTGTCTGACCAATTCAATAGCCCTGCATACGATAGCTTGAAGAATAATGTTCCAACGGAGTTGTTAGAAACAACCCTCAATCCGCTGAAACCTGGCACAGAGTCGTTCGTGCTCCACAACGTCCTCAAAGATTACATCCAGGACACGGCAGAAAAAACTGGAGTGAACAAGAACACACAGTTTAACACCAGAGTGGAACACGTTTCCAAGACTGGAAATCAGTGGAAGCTCGTATCGTCGACGTGGGATGAAGCCAAGGGGGAAGCAGTATCCAAGGAATGGGTATGTTTTACACCAAGAAACTCCTTTGATATACGAATGCTGACTGCGTGCAGTCTTTTGATTCAGTTATTGTAGCCTCTGGGCATTACCACGCACCAAGAGTCCCAAATATCCGCGGCCTGTCGGAGTGGAAGAGTAAATTCCCATCACGGATTCAGCACTCTAAGAGCTACAGAAACGCCAACGGATACGAGAACCAGGTAATTGACCTGCGAAATCCTCATTCCGTAAACAGTCACTGATTTCTTGCTAGAACGTGCTGGTCATCGGAGGCAGCGCATCATCACTCGACGCCGTCAAGGAGATTGTCCCAGTAGCGAAGAAAGTATGGCAGTCTACTAGAGGCGGCGCCTTCGACCTCCCTGCCGCTGTATTGCCAGATGAAGTAGAGAGGATCGGAGAAGTCGTCGAATTCCATCCCCCTGGACAGGACGCGACTGAGGGATCTATCGGGAACGCAACTCTGGCAGACGGCACTGTTATCAAAGACATCGACAGGATCGTCGTGGCAACCGGATATCAGTTCTCGCTACCCTTCTTGCTCGAGTACCACCGAGATGATGTGAAAGCTTCCGACGCAGACGACAAAGTGCTGGTAACAGATGGCACTCAGCTCCACAACCTCCACCAAGACATTTTCTACATCCCCGATCCCACTCTCATCTTCATCGGTGTGCCGTTTTACACGGCGACCTTCTCCTTCTTCGAGTTCCAGGCTATAGCCGCTGCCGCTTTCCTGTCAGGAAAGGCCAAGCTCCCGTCGGTGGAGGCTCAAAGGGCCGAATATAGCGAAAGAGTCAAGGCAAAGGGCTTCGGCAAGAAATTCCACGCTAGGCTTGGGGAGGATCTAGAGTATGCTGCAGGGCTGATGAAATGGGTCAACGAGGGACGAGACCCGGCAGACAGGAAGCCAGATGGGTATTCAGAGAAGTGGATTGCCGATAGGGAAAGACTGCGGCATAACCCCGACCCGAAGAACTCTCTGTTTGAGAAGACCAAGATTTAGGTTCAACTAGATGTAGTGAGCGATTGTCTCTAATGTATATTCAGATCTAGAGAAAGAGGCGAGAGAGCATTGTATATGAGAATACAAAACCAAACCACCAACTAATTAAAGAAGAATCATAGACAATTATAGACTAGGTGATTGTATACAATTAAAGGGGTGAACATACCACCTTGGGAGTTCGTTGGCTATTCTAGAACAAGCAGACCGGCTCGTCGCCAGTCAATCCATTCGCCTCCAGCCTCTTGGCCCTACCTTGCAGGAACACTCTGTACGCCTCCTTCGGGACCTTTTTGTCCTTGTCAGCCCATATCTGATAGTTGGTATCCTCCCAAACCTTCAGCTGCTCAAGAAAATTCACGTTCGGATTGATGTTGCGCTTTCTCCTGACGTCCCGCAGCACCTGCTCCATCGAATCGCCACGCTTCTTCATCAGGTACGCAATCATCACGGTAGCGGAGCGTGAGACGCCCATCTGGCAATGGATGAGGACCTGTGGAAGCACCTCGACGTTGGGATTATGCTCCAGCTGATTGACCGAGTGAATGCGGTTCGCCGGGGGTAGGATCCGCGCAGGTCCGGGCGGCTTGGCTAGATGCCAGTCAATGAAGTCGCATATCTCCTCCAAGTGGACCAAGAGATCCTGCGTCAGGTTATCGAGCGCCGGGATGAAGAGATGATGCTCCGGGGGCACCAGCATCTCATATTGGGGCCACCGCCACCTGTGGTCTCTCGCATAGGTGACTGACACGACGGCGGTGATGTTGTGGAGGTGGATGGTTCGGTAGTCACGGGCCGCGATCCAATCTGAGAGGTAGAGGCCGTCGTCAATGTGGGAGATGTGCACCCTGGTTCTGGACTCAAAGAAGGGCCTCAGCGCTTCGGCCGCCAGGGCTGGCTTGAACATCTCCATCGCTGCTGAGAAGATGCAGGAGGTGACAGAAAGTAGAGGAAGCGGTCGACAGGAGGTCTTCTGTCCCTCCTTTCCTGAAGTTGGAATCGGGTAGCATATGCTAATAAAGCTACCGTTGACTTAAGGAATTGCGTTCATTTTGGTAAGTGATGGAATAGATATGGGCTTGGAGATGGTGAATGTGGATAGCCTTCGCGATGGATGGAATGACGAGTTGATAAAAGGGAGCCACTTACGTCTTGGTTCTCCAAATATTGGAAAGCTTTAAGGTTTACACGCACCAACTCTCATCCAAGGTGGTCAAGTAAGAGGGAAGCACTAATCGGCAAGGAATACTACCGAGTCATACCATGCACAGGGTGTGCGGCCAGTGAAGCTTATTCCTGCCACCGGCATTTTGACGAGAACAATGCTATGTGATGTTGACCTCACTTCATTGCACGTTTCAGGAGAAGAGATACAGAAGGTGTAGTATTAATTGTTTCGGGTATCATTATACATACATTTTCACCTATGAACGAAAACTCAGAAGACGTATCGCAGTTTACCAAGATTGAACCAAATGAATCCAACATGGCACTCAAGTCTGCTTCTCAGCCTTGATGCTGGCACTCGAGCTTCCGCCAGCCGTGTTGATCTCATCGCTATGGGTGCGGGGAGAAGACTCCTCCTTGTGGGCAGGGACGGTATCGGTTGTGGTGGCGGTGACAGCCTCGACATTAGTCACGCTGAGGGCATCGTCATCAGTCTCCTCAGGCAGGATGAGGTTAAGAATCATGCAGGTAACAGCGCAGACAGCGAAACCAGTCGACATGATGAGCGAAATAGCATCGAGGAAACCCGAGAGAGACTTGTTGTCGCCCTTGTAGGAGAAGATCTTGTTGAAGTACTTGGGGACAAGGGTCGCACTGTATCCGAGAGCGAGACCAGCCGTGAGGATGAATCGAGATCGGCGGTTGAAGGGGTTGCGGGGTCGAGCAATAATGGCCATGCCGGAGACGGCAACAGCGCAGAAGAGGAACGTGGTCATTCCACCGAGGACTGGGGAGGGAATCGCGACGAGGGAAGCAGCAAACTTGGCAAAGATGCCCATGATGATGAGGAAGAAGCAGCACATGTAACCAGCCTTGCGGTTGGCGCAGCGGGTGAGGGCAATGACACCGTTGTTTTGAGCAAAGCAAGACATGGGAGTCATGGTCATGAGGGCCGCCAAGCAACCGGCGATACCATCAGCGAGGATACCACCCTGGATGCGAGATTCGTAGACCTTGCCGTCGACTTCGAGGCGCGACACATCACAGGTGGCCGTGATATCGCCAATAGCTTCGGTGGCAAGAATGATATAGACAGCAATGATGGGCAAGACCAGAGGCCCATAGACACTGAGAGGGAATGTCTTGACCCAGATGAAGGAGGCAACGGGAGCACGGTCAATGCTGGAACGGTCAAAGTAGCCAGTGGCGGCGGCAATGATGCAGCCAACCAGGAGGCCAACGACGACAGAAGTAGACTTCATGATGGGGGAGCCGAATCGTTCGCAGAGAATGATTGTGACGAAGACGGAGAATCCCAAACCAAGATACTCAGGCGAACCCCAGGGAAGAGCATGAGGAGCGTTGATGGTGGGGCACTTGGCGAAGATGCCGACAGCTGTATCGGCACTGGAGCAGGGACCGGTTCCACCCATCCAGTTGTTGAATCCGCTCTGGATGAGCTTGACACCGATGAGCATGACGGTGGGGCCGGTGACGATGGGAGGGAACATGCGCAGCAACACGCGAGGCGGGATGAAGGCCATGAGGATCTCGACGAGGGCACAGACGGCGCAGGTACCGAGGAGGGCACCGTATCCTTCAGGGCAAGGGAGCTTGGCTCCAGTGGCCGAGTCTGTCGGACAGAAACCATTGGCGTACATCTGGGACAGCGCTCCTTGACCAATGTTGATGATTGTGAAAGAGACACCAACCACAGAGAGTAAACCAGTGCCAATATAGTAACTACATCCATTAGTTTGCGAATTCAAGAGAGGGCACAACGGAGAAGCAATGTGAAGTTGGGTAGCTTACGGAGTTTTCCAAATATGGAAACGAGTAATCTGTACCGCAGACAGGATGCCAGAGACCAGCAAGGCGGTAGACACCAAGTACTGCTGCTGGTCTTGGCTCAGATTGGCTCCGGATGTTCCAGCGAGAAGCAGAGGCGGCGTGATGACACCTGCCAGCATGGCCAATGCGTGCTGGAAACCTAGCAACATGGCGAGGAACACGGGCATATTATCATTGAGACCAAAGAAGGGCGAAGCAGTGCTAACGCCCTTGCGTCCCATGAAGGGGAGGTTTGGCCGGAACAGAGCGGCATAATCATAGTCGCCTACCAAGCCATCTCGAGTGGTAACGGAACGGATAATGCGCTTGAGGATGGGCTTCTTCTCAGGAGCCCCTGGAAGGGTAGCTGACAAAGGCTCGTCCATTATAGATATAAGGTTGAGGTTTTGCAGGGGGTGTAGAAACGCTAACAGAGTTGGCTCAATTCCAAACTAGGGAACTAAGAAGAACTGGCTGGAATGGCGCGGCGGTTATTGACACGGCGAACCTGCTGAAGCCACGTGCGGAGATGGTGTGGAGGAGTGTGAGTGTGATTGTGTGCGCGTGTGCGTTCCGTTTATGTGTGCGAGGGCGACAGTGAGCGGGTGAGCTTCAGGGATCACAGAACGGAGATAACAGCAAATTGGCCAGGGCGGTATGACGATGATTACTATAGCAAGTTGTCGGGGTATGTTGCAACGGGGATCACTTATAGGACTGGCCTGGCAACCCCGGATGAGAGAGGAGATGATGCTGAGCGACAACGGAAACAACACGTCCGAGGTGACGTTCTCACAGAGTTTTATAAAATAATCAGGTTCGGAGTCTCTTGGCAATTCCAAACTCTGGCCGGCGGTTCACGAGTCGCGATAACGTTCGGCCGGCACCCCCAGCGATCCCTCTCAGAAGCAAATGATTTTCCCATTATTCACACTCGAAGCTTATCAGTGGGGCGCCTCACACTCTCCCCAGTCTGGTCCGACTTTGGCTCTGCGCTAACGCGGTTTCTCAGAGAAGTGTGTGTCAATCGCGTGGTATCCGCGGTGGGCATCTCTCTTATCTCTGAGCCCCAGTCCTCAAGCGTCCAATTCGGGGTGGCAGCCCTGCTCCCGCATGGTCTGGGGTGAGAAGGGATGCTGGATCTGGGTGATGTGCCCCAGCTCCACAGGACGAGCTGGATATTACTCGATTGCATTACTCCCACGCGGGCGTACGCATGAGACGGCCCCTCAGAGCAGCCAACTGCCAGGCATCTCCACGGCTTGGAACCGCATCGTAAGGAGCCTCCCTCTCGGCTGGCCTCTGATAAGATAGCCGGCTGAAGCCCCATCACTATCGTTTGCTGTGGGGGAATCTCAGCTGGAACCCATCGCTATCTCTGTCAATGGTGTACTAGAGACCGGTGCACGCCGCCAGCCAGCCCTCACAGAGCACTTGGCTCGTAGGAGTTCGCCGGCATACGAAATGAGTATCTGGAACTATCAATCGATCGACCCAGCTGGGCGGGATGCTGCAGGAGATAAGTGAGTCGACCGACGGGAGTACGGAAAGAGCTTGGCCAGCATGAATGAATCCCAGCTAGCTCGCCAATAGACTCATCCTCATGAAATTCTCTGTTCTTGATTAGCATGTGTCTCCAATATGCATGATAAACATGATGGTCGAAGCCTGAGACTCCAGATCGGCCTCGCCGTCGTCCACTTCAGCATCTGCAGGAAAGCTGCAAGATGATCATTACAGGGAGCGGAGAGCTCCCCGACGGCTGTATCGGACATTCTGTGGTATCGGCATGATATCGATCATCGATTGATATCGGAGCCTGACGCAGGAGACGGGAGACAAAGATGAGTGTTCAGCTCGTCCTGCAATGGAGGACGCCGTGAGCGGTCGTGGCCGAACGTGACAACGATGTAGTTGCGTGAGAAGTTCGAGGCGCACATCCCAAGTCAGACAGAAGCCCAGACTGGACCTGGTGTCTCAGAAATTTCTTCTTTTCTTCTCTTCACGACTGCTCGAGTTCGTCCAAGGAGATGGCTGATGGTGAATCGTCCCACAAAGCCTCTGGCCAAGGGGCACAGTGCACGTGCGAATTGAAAGTTTTTGACACGGTGTGCCGGATCGGAGTCTCCACCAAAGCTTCAGCCTTTGATGGACGTGTCGATGCAGAATTGTTTCCATGTATCAGGAAACACTGTCGTTATTTGCTTGCTTGGCGTGATCTCTGTCCCATAATAGGACAATTACCATCGTTTCAAGCCCAATCTACCATGTCCATTGCCTGAATATCCTGCCGACTCGCGACACCTACGCTCGAGCGTCGAAGAAAGAAAAAAATTGAAGATCGGCGAGGCTGGGAAAATTTAAATCTTCAAGCTTACACATTTATCTCGCCCAATCGACCGTCACCATCTATCCCAGCTCGCCGAAGATGTTTGAGAATCTTTGCACTCTCCCGCTCCAGGCGGACGTCTTCACGACCGCGTTGCATCCCACCGAGCCTCTCCTGTCGGTCGGTCTTTCCAGCGGCCACGTCGAGACCTTCCGCCTGCCCCCCACGGCCAACGGCAGCTCCGACGATGACAGCGCCGACGGCGACACGAGCATCATGAGCGATGGGAAGGGAATGGTGGACACAGTCTGGCAGACCCGGAGGCACAAGGGCAGCTGCCGTAGCCTGGCCTACTCCCACGACGGCAGTGGTAGGTGCCTCTACCACTCTACCACGAAATATCACTAACCCTTAGCTAGCCATGTACTCCGCCGGCACCGACTCCATCGTCAAGCACTTCGACTCCCAGACCGGCGCCGTCATCTCCAAGCTCGCCATCCCCTCCTCGACCAGCCGCGCCGACGCCCCCACCCTCCTCTCGGTCCTCAACCCCCAGGCCCTCCTCCTCGCCACCGACTCGGGCGCCCTGCACATCGTCGACCTCCGCGAGGGCGGCCGCCCGTCCAGAAAACCCGCGCAGACGCACTTCCCCCACTCCGACTACGTGTCCAGCCTGACGCCGCTCCCCCCTTCCGAGGAGAGCACGAGCGGGTTCCCCAAGCAGTGGGTCAGCACGGGCGGGACGACGCTGGCCGTCACCGACGTGCGCAGGGGCGTGCTGGTCCGCAGCGAGGACCAGGAGGACGAGCTGCTGAGCGCCTGCTTCATCCCCGGCCTGGGCCCCAAGAACAACCGCAACAACGGCGTCGTGGCCGTCGGCTCCGGGACGGGGGTCGTCACGCTGTGGGATAAGGGTTCGTGGGACGATCAGCAGGAAAGGATCATCGTCGACGGCGTGAGGAGGAAGGGTACTCCACCCGGCGGCGAGAGCGTCGACGCCATCTGCGTGATCCCCGAGGAGATGGGGCTCGGGAAGAAGATCGTCTGCGGCCTCGGGGACGGCGGCCTCAAGATCGTGGACCTCCAGAAGCGGGAGCTGCTCACGGCGTCGACGCTCCGCCACGACGACATGGAGGGCGTGGTGTCCCTGGGCTTCGACGCCGGCAACAGGCTCATCAGTGCCGGCGGGCGGACCGTCAAGGTCTGGGAGGAGCTGTCTGAGCTTCAGGGTCACCACCACGAGGAGGACGAGGAGGACGATAGTGATGATGACGACGACGATGACGACAGTGAGGACGCCAGGGGCGCCAAGCGAGCTGCCGAGAGCGATAGCGATGATAGCGATGATAGTGACAGTGACGGCGTCGAGGCGATGAAGCAGCGGGCCAAGAGGAGAAAGGAGGCCCAGAGCAGCCGCCTAGGGCCTATGGGAGCACATGGCATCCTAGGATTTGAGGGGATGGATTAAACCGCAGAGGACCGTTATAGGGGACATTATATAAAATCATCACTTTCGATACCCAGTTACGCGCAATAGGAAAATCACAGTCAGTTATATGAGCATCCCGAAGTCGGAAGGGGCTACGATATGAGCAGATTAGCAAAGTGGAAGGGAAGAAGACAGCGTTGTAGCAGAAATGGGTTTCCATGCTCCGCGAGTTAGCAGCGTGAGCCATCAGGCTCCTAGCCAATATATGAGATTCTACTCTGATAAATACATGCCTACATAATGGCCATTTCTCTCTTTATAACTACAACTTGCCTTTTGTTCGAGTACTGTAGTAATATTGACTACTTACTCACAACAAATGATGACCTTCACGATGGAATTCACAATTGTCAGAAATCTTGTAAATAATCAGGCTACTTATTGTAATATATAACCAGTTGACATGAGCGTTCAATGTACCGCCATTCTCACCTCGCCTGGATATTCATAGCCCACATATATATCCATCCATTCCAGACCAAGGCTAACACCTCCCTCCCGAAAATCTCTCCTCTCCTGATCCGGAACGAGCGCTTCATGTATCGCGCTCCCGAGTATCCCACTAGCTGGGCAGGCTAACCTCCAATGCTGTCAAATATCTCGACTCGCAGTGAATGCTTCGTCTTCAGCACAGGCGCCATCTGTTGGTGTGTGTGCATCACCGGCTGCTCGGCAGAATTCTCATCCCCGTCGCATACCAGGACACACCCTACCAATGAAGCGAGTTGGGTAATAGATGTCATGCCAATCATCGATTGTGCAAAAGAAATGTGGCCAGGGGCGGGCTCTAATAAGCTCCGCTGCAGCGTTTGGAAACGCTGCCACCTGGCCGGCTTGCTCTTCAAGGAGAGCCCTCTAACCCCACGGACCTGTTTGGGCTCATCTCATGGTAAACAACCCGTTTCAGTCGTTTCCGAGAATAGAGCAAGGGGGGTGGTCCAGATGAGGGAGGTTGAGGCGCCAGACGCGCGCAAGTAAATGTAAATGAGTTGGATACGTCAATAGATGTACGTTGACGTGTGTACATAGGGAAGGGCAAAAAGAAATGAAGATGTCGAAAAAAATGAAACTCGCCTCGCAGAAATGCAACGCAGATTTCCTCTTTTTTAATATTCTTCGGATAGTAGATAGTAGGGGAATAAGGTCATTTGCCGTCCATCCTTCGCCAAAGGATTTCCATCTCATATTTATATTTGTTTTGGGTTGAGTGCAGGTGTGGCAGACTGCAAACTGGGCCGTATTTAGACGCCGGGCAGTTGAATATAAGACCACTGCGCATCATCATTCGACGGACGACGGGACCGAGCGGTGGACAATGAGCGGCAGGTTGGTGCAGAGAAGCGAGACGGTGTGTTCATGGCGGTGAGCTCCTCGTCGTAGATGATGATGGACGGCATATTCTTGCTGTAGATGTCGGCGGTCTTCCTGCTGCTCCCGCTGTCGCTCTGGCTAGTGCTGCCGCTTCTGTTCCTACGAGGAGAAGAGTCGCTCCTCCTACCACGTCGGCTGTTGACCTTGGAACGCCTGCGTGCAGCGTCATTTGAGCAGTTGCCGCCCATCTCGGAGCCGCTGTACGTGGTGGGGATGCAGATGTGCGGGATCTCCTTGCTGCCACCGATAGTCCTGGCCAGAGCCATGGCAGATGTTCCTCCGATGCTAATGACACAGTCTCGATCGGTGATGCGGGCTACAGCATCGTCAACAATCTTTTGGGGCACGTTGACGAGGGCCGAGTCGAGGATGCGGGAGTCGAGGTTCGGTATCAGGGCCTGGATGCGGCGGGCCAGGCTAATGCAGGACGGACTGGAGACGATAAGCGGCGTCGCGAGATGCAGCCGGCCAAGCTCGCTGGGCAGGCGGGCGATTGCGTCTGGGCCGTAGACGATGCGGGGTGAGAAGGAGGGCAGCGATGGTGAGGGCGGTCTGTCCTTGGAGTCGTTGGACGACGCTGAGCAGATGGAGACGGAGGGGGATCCGGTGGCAGGCGCACCCGAGAGGGACACGGGTGGGCTAATCTGGGCGCACGATGATGATGGCGAGGATGATTTTGTTGGGCTTGTTTGATCGGTGCTCGTCGTCGTCGTCGTTGTTGTCGTCGTTGTCGCTGTCGTATCCGAGGGCTTGCTGACAAGGTGCACGGGAGGCGGCGGCGGCACGGAGAAGGAACTGCTCATGACTTGGTCTTCCGCAGCACCTGAATAGAGGCCGTTGAGGTTGAAGGACGTCGGAAGCCGTGATGAGGCTCGATCCTCGGTACAGGTCTTTGGGCCGGATATCGAGGAGCGCTCATTGGCAAGAGTCAATTGCCGGACCCTTTGCTCCCCACTAGACGTCGGTGGAGCCAATTGGGGGATCGATCAAGTGAGATGTGATGGGCTGGGCGGCAAGAAGGGTAGCCTTGCAGGGAGTCGGTCGATCAAACGGCGCAAATGATGGCATCTCTCCTATCCCATGACTTGGTGTGGTTGTATGCAAACAGCAGCAATTGTTTTCTATTATGCTTCACCATGGCGGCAAAACACGCAGCATGGGAATCCTGCCCTTCTGCATTGCCGCCATTGAGTTCCACTAGATTGTATGGACCAGCCTCCGATTGATTGGCTGCATTTGCCGTGGGCGAAAGAATGACGATCTTCTCGGACCAGAAGCCCCTGATGTTCCAGTACAATGGAAATAGAGGGTGGCATTGCCTGAAGAGCCTGATTTCAATCAACCACTACCCACGTAATCATGATGGGCTGTACGTCAATCTGGACCCTGGTGGTGTGTCGGATCATTTTTAGTGGTCAGTGCACTGTTGCACCTGACAGGTACCGCCTTAGGTCCGCGTAGGGCTGTTCGCCACTTCTTAGTGAGTTCAGTGTTACACAGCTGCCCAGAGTGCGACTTTTGAGCACCAGCGCCAGACTTTCCTGACTATTACCTCTAGTTTAGACGCTCAATAGCTGTGGCCCAGTAGATTGCAAATTCTCTGGGGCTAATGTAGGACCTAAAGTAACCTGTCTGTTTGATGCGTCGGAAGTCACAGCGAACTCATTTCACTACCTTACTTATTTATTGATTTCCTTGTTCAGCTCAGAGGCAAGTTTCTCAATACTTGGAGAGATATCGCCACTTTGAAAAAAGTCGACTATTAATCCGATTTCAGCAGCGTAGATCAAGTACTCTGAAGTGCAATGTATGTTGCTAAAATCAGGGGGGGAAGGCCCCTGCTTGACACTTAGATAGACTTTGCCACTGAGCAGAAATCCACTTGAAATTCGATATTCAGGTATCTCCCCAAGTCACCAAATGTAACTACTGTAAAGAAAAAGAAGTGGGGAAACTACCTCGCTGTAGCTTACGCTGCTTTAAGGAGATTGGATTATTGTTTAATTTTGCTCAGTAGCCAGTGGCGAAGTCCTTCCTGGTAAGTAGGCAAGTAGAGCACAGATCAACAACACCTCAACATCCACCTTACATTACCATGGGCTGTACACAAAATACTAGCCCCTGAGCCTAGTCATATCAATTGAATCAATAGCCTGGAAGCTACGTGCTGCTGCTTCCGATTTTTCAAATGCTGGTATGTTTTTCCGGTCCTACCCTACCACGGCCCATTGCCGCGTTAGTTGCATCACCCCAACTCTTCACGGTTTTTACCCTGACGGAGACATTCCACGTATTGTTCAACTTGACCACTGCAATTCCATCGTCAGATAGTCAGAGCACCTTCAAAGCAAGGCTGGCCCTTATCACGCGGCTTCGCCTCTGGTCGAGCCATATAATGGGAGTCTGAGTGTAGATGTTCGGTCTAACAACAGGAGCCATAAACACTAGCACCCCTCTAAATCGGGGTAGATTACAATATGTCCTCCCCCATCTACTTCCTGCAAATTATGCAGGCCCTCTTTGAGAATTATGAGGTTGAGGACGCAAGAACAATTGTGCCGTCGGATGAAGATTCGCTCTGAAGAGCAAAAGTGCATTGGCTGAGCATGGTTTCAAGAACAAGTAAAATGCAGGACGGCCACCAGCGGGGCCATTGACGAGCCCCGGCATCTTCAGAGTTCGAGTCATCAATTAAAATCGCTGCAGGCTGGCTTTGACCTAGAAGTGTCAGGAAACCACCCACCGGCATTGGTACACTACCTAGATATCAACCATACAGTGCGACGTGAGCCCGAGCTCCCCAAGAATACGCCCGACAGCACCCCACGTAGAGAGTCAAGAGAAATACTATGTGTGTGTTTGACGATCTCGCCGAACTAAGGCCATGGAATCATGTCATAATTTGTCCCCTAAACAAAGAACGCGACAATGCTTCCTACGCCCTCCTTACACTGCCCCTAAATTATTTATGTTTCCTGTAGAGAAAGCACAAGGTTAAAGAAGGTGTTAGACCAAGATAGAGGACTACCTAGAGCACGCAATTGAAGTTGCTCTGGGGCGAGCTCTTTGGCGGATCCGCGAAAGATATTTCGATGGCTCGCTTCCGGGAAAATGTTCTCATGCCTCGGCTGGATGCTGAACAAGATGTCCAGAATATCATGTGCATCTCGTCGCCATCATTGTCGAATTTTACGAACAAGTATTCGGGAATGATAAACCATGAAATTAATACACCAAATACGTTCCTCTACGTAGTGTAATATCTTGAGCGATGCAGTGGCTGGGGTCTCAAAAAGAAGTCTGTGGTGATCGGCGAGCTTACAGCACAGAGAATCGACGTCTCCTCGGTCAAACTCTAATGGATATCTAGAAAGGTCCAAGTTAATTAACGGTAGACTTCTGCTGGCGAAAGGTTTGCAGGGCTGGTTATGAAGAGCCAACGCGTTTAGGTAGGAGATGATTCTACAAGCCAAGTAGCCGGAGATTCGGACAAGACTCGGGGAGCCGCATTATATTTGCCGTTGTAAGATGAAGGCAACCTCATCAAGTTGGCTTATACTATTAGCAAGAGGTGTCCCAGGAGCCTTCTTTTCTCATAGTCGCAATCTTCTCAGGCGGGCGTTTTGCACATGAGAGTGGTGCTGTGGGTAATGCGCCAGCGGTGTGTCACTGACATCAATCAATGCACCACCGCAGCGACAGTCAGTTCCAGGCCCAGAAACCGGGGTAAGAAGCTCGCGGGAACGGCGTCGCTGGCCTTTCAATAGTTTGGCTGTCAAGACGAACAAGGTGTGGCTGCAGGCCGTTGAGCAGGTAATTACGGGAATGCAGGCGCCGCGCGCGAATTTAATCTCCTCCATATTTTGGTGGCTCCCATCCCCTGTGCACTTATCACGGATCATCACGAACTATTGACTGTCAAATGCAAGCCAGGCAATCTATGCACGTGGGCCAGTCCACTCTGAATCGACTTCACTTGGATGTAGACCATAGAGACGGGGTGGATGCTCACGGGATATATAAGTTTAGAACATTTCATTTATTCATTCAGGTAAAGGATTATGTACTCGTGAGGTAGATTTTAACCATCGAAGACGCGTCTATTAAGAAATAACAGTGATTTATGCACCACAAATATACATTAGAACATATATGTGTGACGGATCTGTTTGAAACACAAAAACGGACACCACCATTAAAAACAGCGAGTCGGAAACCAAAGAGGCAAGGAGACGAAGAGAGTGAGGTCTTTCTGCGTAGGGTACAATGCCCTTGCCCCTTTGTGCCAGATTCAATGCGGCCCCCGTCCAGTCCGTCATTCATTCATGAGATGAAGAGGGACTTTACAGAAGAGTAGCAAAGAGGGCACCGACGAAGACGGCGACGAAGGCAGGAGCGTTGGCAAGAGCACCGCTGGTAGGAGCGGGAGTGACACCAGTGGTGGGGGCGTTGGGGGAGTTCTTGCTGGTGAAGGAGGTGGTGAGGCTCTGGGTGGTGCCGGGGATAGGGACGATGGTAGAGTTGCTGCCCCAGGTAGGGGGGTGGCTCTGCTGAGGCTGGTTGGGAGAGTTACCGCCAGTGGTCTGGGGCTGGTGAGGAGAGTTGCCGCCAGTGGTCTGGGGAACGGCGGGGGAGCTGCCAGAGGGCTTGGGGCCGTTGCCAGAGTTGCCGCCAGTGGGGTGAGGCTGGTTGGGAGAGTTGCCGGCGGTGGTAGAGACACCGGGGGCGGCGGTGCTGGGAACACCGCAGCCGCTGCCAACGCAGACGTTGCCGCCGGGGAGAGTGTGGATGTCGCTGGAGGCAGGGCACCAGGTGACGGTGACAGTGCTGACATGGCCGACGGGGCAGTTTGTGACGGTCTCGGGGCACTTGGTAACAGTGTAGGTGCTGTAGCTAGTCAGGGTGAGGGTAGGAGTAGGAGTGACAACAATGGTCTCGCTGGTGACGGAGCCAATGGGGCAGTTGGTGACAGTCTCGGGGCACTTGGTGATGGTGTAAGTGCTGGTGGTGGTGAAGGTGGAAGTAGGAGGAGCAGGGACAGTAGTAGCATCGCCGCCGTTACCGCCGTTGTTTCCTCCGTTGTTACCACCGTTGTTACCACCATTGTTGCCGCCGTTGTTGCCTCCGTTGTTTCCTCCGTTGTTTCCTCCGTTGTTACCGCCGTTGTTTCCTCCGTTGTTACCACCGTTGTTGTCATCATCATCATCACCATCATCGCACTCATCATCGTCATCATCATCGCCACCGTTGTTACCACCGCCGTTGTTGTTGTCATCGTCGTCACCCTCATCATCATCGCACTCATCATCACCAGCGTCAGGAGTCTTGGTGGGAGTAGCGCCAGTGGGAGTACCAGTGGGAGTACCAGTGGGAGTGGGGGTCACAGAAGCGACGGCGGTGGAGGCCTTGAAGTGACGGACCTCGTGGACGGCAACAGCCTCCTTGAAGTCGAAGCGCTTGACGGCAGAGACATCCTTGGGGACGACGGGGGTGAAAGCTTGGGCAGCAAGGGGCAGGCCGCCGAGGAGCATAAGACGAGGAAGCATCTTGAAGGTTTGGGTTGTGTGAAGTTGGCTGAGCCGGTATTACTTGAGTGAATTGGGTTGGAGCTTTTGAGTATTATTACGGTGACAGAGATAATAACGTCTGTCTACCAAGCGAGTGTAGGTGGAATAGGAAAATCCAAAAAAGAATGACTGACACCAAGTTAGGCTGAACAAAACTTCAACTGAAGAAAGAGAGGGCGGAGAAAAGAGGGATCGGCGGATGCTGTGAGACTATATACTCAGTCTTGCCGCTGCCC